TCCACCCATTTTCATCTTCCCAAAATGGGGGCTTAGCATGACGGTGATATGTGTTTGCTGAATTGAAAATCAACCAGGAACATAGAAAGCAAACAAGCTGTGGCTGATATAACAATGGGAAATGCAAGGATTCTGAAAATTTCCGTAGGATTTAGAAGAAAAATGAATATCTTTACTACAAAGTAGCATTTACTTGTAATACTATGTATTACTGAATTCTGAATGTGTAAAAAGGATGCATGACTTGCTGAATAAGCGAGTCAATATCTTTTCACCATTCTTGATTAGTAAAATCCGGCTAACTTTTCATTTACCAACAGGATTGCCTCAACTGCCCTTATTTAAGCTCAATTATTATTTCTTGCGTCAGTTTGAATCTGTGCCTCCTTTTCACCCTCAACCATAAAATGATTTCATAATCCATGTGCCAGTAAGGCTGAGTATACCTCACCCTTATCATTTGCACCACTGGGATATGCTCCGAGGGCAATAACACAAAATAACTCATAGAAGATCAAATCTGTCAAAGCCATCAACTTTCAAAAATTCAAAGTATTCCTTGTTCATTTAGGATTTTTCAATTTTTGCTTATTTGATTATTTTGCTGGGTATTAATCTCAAAAGAATAATGTTGTCTAGCATTAGTAGTGCCAAAACACCAACCTATTCGTCGTGCAAGAGATTGAACATCTTAAATGTGATTAATTTTTCTACTTTTAAGGTGATCTATCAACTAACGACACTTTCACGCCACCTAAACTGATGCATGGTGATGCTAAATAGCATTACTCATCTCAAAATTAGAGAGGGGATGAATATCATTTTAAGATGACATTTGCTTACCCGTTCAAGGCATTTCTTTTCCAGGTTTTATTACTTTTTTTTTGTTCATTCTCCATTTTCTACAGCTTCCCTTACACACACACAGATCAAGAAGAAACCATCAAATACCATCGAGCTGTATCATTCATTAGTTTCACAAACTGTTACACTGGTAGCATAGATATTGAAACACCACATCTGCAAGCATAAATAAAAACATGACCCACGAGTAGAGAAACTGGATTAAGCTATACAGCAAGTAGCAACAGGATGACATTTTACATATATGAAGAAATTCGAGGGCATTCAACCCCCAAATCAATGGACTTTATTAGTATTTCATTGATGTAAAGGGGTACCATTTCTTTATTCCATGAGCTAAGAGAATCATTTTATAGAAATGACAAGTTTTAGCAAGCCGTGGAATGCTCATTGGATCCTAAACTCACATCACTAAAAAGACGAGCAACTTATTGGCAATAAAAACTCATGAAAACAAAGACCGACTCCGATTGCGTTCCAACCGAGCTTCTCTCTGTCATAACCAGGGGAAAAGGAGCCAGATCAGAGTAATGTACATAATTGCTTTGATTAACGTGATATGATAGTAAAGCATTTCTGACTTTTAGTGAACTTCAATACCTCCTTTTTCTTGCACTCCTTGTAAACGTCAAAATGTTCTTGACATTTACTCTTGTCCGAGTGAAATTCTTCTAAGCCTGCAATGTTACAGAAAGGCCACAAAAAGGTCAAGTTTGAAACTGGTGCCTGTCAGTAGTTCCGAAATCCTCAACACTGGAAGAATGGGAAGTGAAGCCTCACACAATATTGCATAGCACTAAGAGCATATTTCGAGCACTGAATAGGAATCGATAGTATAATGAGCAAAATTTAGCATCCTTTTATTGTTTAACACTGTCAAGTGCCATTCATTTTCATTAGCAAAACATGCCATAAGAATTTATGAATAAACACAATGCTATAGAAAATTAAAAAATTATTTAGTGAATTGCAAGCAAAATTTCAAATTACAAAGGATCGCCCATAGCATAATAGTGAGATCCACAAGTTAGTCAGGAAGTGAGATACAAACACCTCTGAACAAAAAAAATAAAAAAAGGTAATTATGGAAACTAATAGTATAAAAAATGTCCATGATGCTATGCTATCTTCCAATATATCGGCATCTAAGGTTAGCAGCCTATCCCAATACAAATACACTGCATAATAAAACAAAATGCACCTCTTCACAAAAATAAATAAATAAATAAAGGACGAGGCAGAAAAAACCCGACCAGGAGACCACAAAAGTTAGAAACCCCTTATACTTTGCCTCTATGAATCAATATGATTAACTATCTGTCCCAATTGACTTCCTTCATTCCTACTCCAATTAACAAGATTTAGCACATTCAGAAACTATATAATTGACATTTAATGAATAACGGCGACCATTTCAAATTCCTAAAACCTGACGAATAAACAAATGCACCATAAAATGATTGGATGAGCTTATAAAAAAAGGTTCTTAGTAAGCTTTTGAACTTGAGATTTAAAAATAAAATACAATTAGATCAAATTAAATAAAATTAAATTAAAAGATATAAAACATTTCAATCATTCTAGTTGTACATAATTAATATTCGAGCGGGCCTCACCTCATGTGAGAGGGTGGACACCCTTATGTACAAAAATTATGTACCACTAAAATTATTCAAAACCTTTTGGCAAAAAATATTCATGAAATAACTTCTAAGCTTAGCTAAACATGCTCTAAGTCATAACTCGATTTTGGCATCATTTAATATGCTAGCTTAGGTAGAATAGTTAGATTGTGAAGCTTATTACAACTCAAACCTTGTGTTCAGAGCGAATTTATCACAGTAACAAAATAAGTAATGCCCCCTAACAGTTGTACTCGTATGGGAGTGGATGCTTATCAAAAATCAAATATTGGGAAATTAGGAATACTTCAAACCATCATATATCAGAATCTCAATATGAGCCAACAATAAAAATGCAAATTTAACTCCTTATGAACGTTGTAACCTTATATATTATCCCCTCTAAAACAAGGGAAATTTTACGTAATATATAGGAGCACAATAAAAACCTACTACTTGCAAGTAAAGAATTCCTTCCTCTACGAGTAGAAGTATAATTTATGGAAAATCTTAATCGCCCACAAAATAATTTACAAACCCAATACAAAACGATAATTCAACAAAAAATAAACAACAATCATATTTGAATACAAAAAATACAGCATAAATCTAGCAAGAAACCCTTCAAACAAAAATGAATATAAAATGTAAATTGGGATTTTTGACAATTACATTTGAGAGAAGCAGTGTACTGCGGATAACAATCAGAATCGGCGATTCGGGCTGCACTTGGGTATGGCGGTGATTGTGCTTTTGCTGACATGCTGACGTCACGAGATTTTCCCTCCTCCTCTCTACAGTAAATGGGGCACAGAACATCAGAAGGATTTTCGAGTTTTGACTGGGATATGAAAAATAAATGGGCTTTCTTAGTTCAAGATAATGGGCTTCTATGTCGATATTTTCTTAATGGGCCTCCATTAATTTGTTTGCTAAATAAATTGGCTTTACAGTTGAAGATAAATTGTGACGTTAATAGTTGTCTAACCTTGTAAATGTTTGGTATGATTACTTGACCTTGGAAATTTGAAATTGAATTACTAGCAATTAATTTAAGCTACACGCAGAAATTATGACAGTTACGTAGTAGTGCTCGTGAGATTCGTTTTTTTTAAAAGTCGCCATAATTTAGCTTTCTTGAATGACAGAACTGCTGACATCTGAACTCCGATCTAGTATAAACAATTCGCTAATCCCACCTCAGTTAAACGTAAGTTCGGCCCATACCCCCAGATCGTATTTACCCGTCGTTATCTTAGAAAAATATCATGATTATCCATTGTCACATCACCCTATCAATTAGATACACTTGCCACAGGTGACGTCATCACGCCCGGAACAACCAATCCCAATCCCAATCCCAAGTCCTCGAACTCCAACCCCTTATAGGTCATCATTACCTGGGTAATACATTAACACATGACCACCGGCCTCATCAACCAATCACAGGAGAATTTGGCGACCCGAATTCCGAGCTCGGCACTGTTGCTGATTTGACTGATTTGATGTAATTTCGGCTGGAACTATGTATAAATAGTCGAATATGACTCTTGTAAAAGACAGCGAATTCA